TAGCAGTACTAGTAGTAGCAACAGCAGTACGACTAGTAACAATAGCAGTATGACTAGTAGCAATAGCAGCACTAGTAGTAGCAATAGCAGTACGACTAGCAGCAATAGCAGCAGCAGCAGTCGTCATCGCAGCAGCAGTAGTAGTAGTAGTAGTAGTAGCAATAGCAGTACGACTAGTAGCAATAGCAGTATGACTATAGCAATAGCAGTACTAGTAGTAGCAATAGCAGTGCGACTAGCAGCAATAGCAGTACTAGTAGTAGCAATAGCAGTACGACTAGTAGCAATAGCAGTCCGGCTAACAGCAAGAGCAGCAGCCGCAGCAGTAATAGTACTAGCTGCCGAGGCAGCAGTAGCAGCATGAGCAAGAGGAGGAGGAGCAGCACTATGCCGTGCCCATCACAGCTCTCAGCCTCCTCTCTTTCTGCCTGCTGTCCTTTGCTGCCACCTGTCGAAGAGACGGAGGCCCAAGGAGTTCATGGACATGCTTTGCAGGTGGGGTGGCCAGCAGGGGCAGGCGTCCCTGGAAATAGGCCTAGAGCAGGCCATGGGAGGATGCTGACCTGTTTGCTAGGTGGAGCTGGCATTGAGGGGGCATGCATGAGAGCACAGCCTGAGCAAAGGCCCGGGCGCCCAGAGACGTGAGCGCAGCCTTCCTCCTTGGTACCACGTGCTCCTCTCCTCTCCTGTCTCCCCTGGCAGGTCACCAAGATGCTGGCAGTGGTGCTGGTCCTCTTTGCCCTGCTGTGGCTGCCCTACCGCACCCTGGTGGTGGTGAACTCCTTCCTGAGCCCGCCCTACCTCAACCTCGGCTTCCTGCTCTTCTGCCGCCTGTGCATCTACCTCAACAGCGCCATCAACCCCATCGTCTACACACTCATGTCCCAGCGCTTCCGGGAGGCCTTCCACAAGCTCTTCCGGTGCCGGCTGGCCCACGCCAGGGCCCCACCCCAGGAGACCCTCCCCATGTACTACAGTGCCATCAAAGACTGTTCCCAGCAGGGCCTGAGCTCTTAGATGGAACCAGAGCGCCTGCTGTCCAGACAGGAGGGACCCCCAGCTCCTTCTCCTCCTGGGGTAAACATGGCTGATAGAGGAAGCATGTCCAGGGCTGCTGGGTAGAGGTGTTCAGGTTGTGCACTGTGAAAACCTAGGGGTCACCCCCCACATCCTCGATGTGGATCATAAGTCAAGCAATGTCCCAGTTTCATCAATATGCAGCCAGGGACACCTTTCCCAGTTTGCGCAAGAGTACCCCGGGTCCTAATGACTGCCTTTGTGGAGGTCCAGGAGGGTGGGCGGGCTTGCCAGGGGTCTTCTGAGAACCCATCAATGGAGTAGGGGTGTCCTCGCTCTTTCTGTGTGTCCTGAGGGCCTTTCTCATCCAGATAAACACCCAGCCTGCCTCCCTCCCCCTCCTTCTGTGGTGGTGGCATCTGCTGCCTCTGGGGAGCCTCCGGCTCAGGGTCCAGTGGGGACAGTAGAAGCTTCCCAGGGGACACTCAAAGGTGCAAAGGAATCAGAGCTCGGTGCCCATCCCCCTGCCCTGCACACACGGAAGCCAGAAACCTGGCTGGATTGTGTGCCCGTCCTTCCCAAACATGTTAAACTCAGGTGCAGGGGGACCTGTTGGACTGCGATGACAGGCTGCGGGCATGAGTGGGACGGGCTAGGCTTGAGTGCAGGAGCCATTGGCATCCAAATGCCAGGCAGTGAACAGGACAAAAGTTGACTTCTTGCTCCAATTAGTTGTCTTTGGGGGGCAGCCCTGATCCGTGTTGGGACCCAGACGTCTAGAGCATGTCATTCTTGTGGTACCTGATTCCCCAAATGCGGTCTCATGGTCCCTGCAGCTGAGGCCGAGAATCTAAAAGGATCCCAAACCGGCCAGGGAAGACAAGTCACCCAGTACGTGGTCCAGGCCACTCCCTCTCGCAACCCACTGGTCAACACCAGGGGGCAGCTGTCGAACTGTCAGGGGTCTGGGAAGTGTGGTTTTCCCAGGCTCCCCAGGGGAGGAGAATTGGGAGTAGGTGAGCACTAGAATTCTCTACCACCCAGGGGGTTGAGAATGGAAATCAACATTCTCTTCAGCAGCATGGCTCCTTCCAGCCTGTGGGGCGGCAGGCCCCGCCCTCTAAGCCCACTCCTAGGACTCTCAGACCTGGCTGTATTTCTGGAGAAATGAGGCCCATGCCCCCTCATTGGGGCAACGTCTAGACGCCTCAGAAACTACCTGCATTTCAAAGGGGGCAACTATATGCACTGGGTGTGGGGAGTGGGAAGGAGAGGCATGAAGAGCAGTCCGCACACAGGAGGCAGACAGCTGGAGACCAGGACCAAGCTGCCCTGTGGGAGGCCTCCTCTGACCACCTTGTCCCTCAGTGAGCGTTACGACTTCGCTCCCAAGCACGTGGCTTCGATGCTTGTGTGTCTGTGTGTCTGTGTGCCTGCATGTGCGCACCCCCCTCTCCCCTGCAGGACTGGGGTCTCCTGAGAGCAGGGACCCTGGTGCCATCATCCCTGCGGCACCAGTGTCAAAGGGCCTCAATAGGCGAGGGCAATGAGCTTGTCTTCCGGGACCGCGGCAAAGAGGCCTCACGCTGGATGGAGATCTACCGCCAGTGCAGGGCAGACAGAACGGCTCCGGACACCAGCAGGCTAAACGGACGGACAGCAGGGCTTCGCTCCGTTCTTCTCTGCCACTCCGACCTCAAGCCCACCAGGACCAGTCTCACCCCTCTTCATGCAGATCACGCCCATGCCCTCCACCCCAACTCGGCGGCCCCTTCCTCCTCCACCCCTCCATGCCACCAGCCACCCTTCCATCTCGGGGCTGGTCTCTTGCCTGAACCATCGCCTCAGCCTCTCCCTCTCTTCCCCATCTCTCCATGAACTGCAGCCTCTGAGGAGATGGCAGGGTCGTCTTGGGGTGAAAGAGCTTTGGGTTCAAGCAGATCCCGACTCCACTTTGTAACAGCCACCGTGGCCACATTAGGTATCAGAGCAGTGGTTCTCAACCTGTGGGTCCCGACCCCTTTTGGGGTTGAATGACCCTTGAAAGAGGTCACCCCCATCCATAGCAGTAGCAAAATGTCAGTGATGAAGTAGCAACGAAAATAATTTTATGGTTGGGGGTCACCACCACATGAGGAACTGCATGAAAGGGTCGCGGCATTAGGAAGGTTGAGAACCGCTCTATCAGAGGGAGCAACTTGCCTTGATTTGCCCAAGATGGTCCCAGTTTTAGCAGCGAGCCTCCCGTGGCCTAAGCTCAGTCCTGGGCACCCTGAGATGTCTGCTGTCTCTCCCTGTAGTGAAGTACCATTGTACTGAACGCACCGCACAAGGCATGTAAAATGCTTGCACGCCAGTCAGAAAGAAATGCTAGCTCTTTTAAAATAGATGCCACCCAACATCCTGTTCTCTTCCTTTCCAAGAGCCCTCATCATCTGACCCTCCAGGGCTGTGTGTGAGCACCTGCCCAGGTGGGCTCTATCACCACACCTGGAGCTCCTTGGCTGGCTTCTCCACTGCTTTGTCACCAGAGCCTAGAACCGGGTCTGCTGGGCAAGTAAGTCAGTGGGATCCCGAATAAAGACACTCTTATTATTTAAGGAGTCCTGGAGGCCGAGTGGTTATGTGTTGTACTGCCTTCCGCAAGGTCGGCAGTTCGAAACAACCTGCCCCTACAGGGTAGAAAGACTGGGCGTTCGAATCCTGTAAAGAGGAGTTACCGTCCTGGAAACCCACAAGGGCAGCTCTACCATGTCCTGTAGGGTCACTCTGAGCCCGCAGTGAGGTTGTTGCTGTCCCTTAAACCCCTTCGCAGAGACCTGGCTTCCAGCTTGAGCAAAGTCTGAGGAACGGATGGTGACTGACTGGGATTCTTGGTTGCTGGCAGCAGAAACGATCTTTAGCTAACCACATTAAAGAGGCATTGCTTGGGTTTGGGAAGCACCAGGATCAGGATAACCCCCAGAGGGCTCTGTCACAGGGACTGATGGGCCCCTGCTTGCTGGGTGGCACCCACGTTCAAATGGATTAGCTCCACGTCCTCCTCGGGCTTCACATTCCAACCTGTGATGGGCCTGGTGGGGAGTGCAGCTATACTTGGCCAGGAGAGGTAGGGGGTGGTGTGTGTGTGTGTGTGTGTGTGTGTGTGTGTGTGTGTGT